TTGTAAATATAATAGAGCTTGAACTGTTGGTTCAGTTATAATTAGTTAGCAAAAATTATTTATGTTAATTATTTTAGACTTTAGAAAAGCGTTTTATTGCGTGTTAAACAACAAAAAGATGTTGAGATTTTCATTTTTAAAAGAAATTAGTGATGGCGGATGATTTTGTTTGTTATTTTGTTTGTTATTTTTAAAATAAAATTATTGAACTTTTCATTTTTATAATGAAATCAGTCATTTTTTTTCATTTTTTGTCATTTTTATTCTCAAAATACCGTCATTTTTTGTCATTTTTTTCGAAAGTTGCTGCTTGGCAGCCTGTTAAATTTGTGGCTATAAAATAACCGTTTTGTATCTTCTAAAGCAGATCCATAAATTTGGTCTTGGGATGAACCCAACACCAAATTTATGGATCAACTACATTGCTGCACATTGTTTTTTTTATCTCTGTTCTTATAGAAGATTTGCGTACTTGTCGCTTGTTGATTTGATGTTTCTCACGAATATCTCTAGCATAGGAAAAGCTTCTTACTCTTGTGAACAAAACAAGCTTTCAAGAAGAGAGAAAGATATTTCTTTATCAATTTGCAAATCAGTACTGTAACATATATTGTTTAAGCTACTTATAATCACTTAACTTAAGCATTTCATTTGAGCTTTGCTGTTAATAGATGTTACAAAAGATTTGCTTTATTTATGAAAAATTATTTCACATTGGATAATGATATTTTGAGTATAGATGTTAGTTTTAAATAAACCACCTCTGTTCTTAATATTAACATATTTTTGGGTATCATCTGAATCAATTTTGCATGCTGATAATATTTCTATACATTGTTTTTTATACTGCTCATCAGATTTATAAAATTTGAACTTTGAGTAAAGTTTTTGAACTACAAGAAGTCGGACAAATATTGAATTATACTTAAATCTTTATCAGAAATAACATAAGATGACAAAACTTCGCTATTAGATGAATTATTATGTTTACTTTCTGAAAGATCTCAAAGTATGTGATTTCCAATTTCAGTAAGTAAAGTATTGGTCAGTAAAATATTGTTAAATTTTTATGGCTATAAATTTTCATAAAGAAGTCCATAAAATTGAGAAAAAATTTTTTCTGCATCACCATTGTATTTCAAAATAAAACATTGAAATTTTTCAAAAAGAGAAATTGAATTTTCAGAACTAAAATAAAAATTCTGCTTTGAAAATTGGATTCGAATTTCTTCAGGCAAGCATAAATCATTTGATAATTTACAAGCACATTCTTCAACAACTTTCTCAAGATCAAAATAACTAAATTGTATAAAGTCTTTATATTTGCTAATTGAGTTGGTTTGTTTGTTTTTCGAAGTTTTATGTTTTTCCAGGCCATTTTTGTTTTATAAACTTTATAACACAATTTGCACGAAAAATTGGATTTAAAACAAACTTCAGATAATAAATTATCTAGATCTTGTTCAATTTCCATGTTATTGTCAAAAATTCCATCAGTTAGAGCCATATACAAATCATCAAGCTGTGTTTCTACATGAAGTTCAGTGCTCATTTTAAAAACTTGTGCAGGGTGAACGGGCCGAAATTCAAAATTCAAGTTAAATCAAAACAATAGAAACGACCCGTGCTTCCAGACTATGTATTTCTTATGACTATGCTTTAACAGAAATTGCTGTTAGACAATTGTATCTAAAATAAACTAAAAAGAATCAGTTTCTTGCTTTTAAACTTTTTTACGGTTTTGCTTGTGTCTCTGTTTTTATGACTAGTTAACTCATTCTATTATCTCCTTATGAGGGAACAGGTCAAAAACTTAATTTTATTGTTCTGAGGCCAGCTGGTAGTCAGGTTTCCCGAACTCTGTAGTAGTTCTCAGAGAGACTGATTCCATTAACAGCTGGAAAGTACCAGAGTACTAACAGTGCCATTGTGCGCATGGATGGTGTCCATGTTCATACTTTCGGTGTGCATTGTTGAGGCCACATTTGGAGCCCTTTGTTACAGGTTAAGGTTACAGCTTAGGGTGTAGTAATAAGGCAATTGCTTAGACTATTAAATAGTTTACTGAGTACTATCTATGGTTTGAGTCGAGTTCTTTAAAAAATTTAAAATGACTAAAGTACCAAAAAATGTAAAAACACAAAAACCCATCGTCATTGCCAAGTTCTTTGAACCTATCATTCACTACTATTCGTGGTCTTTGAGTAATTTTTTTCTGTTGAGTCTTATCTCTTGCAAAGTTTACCAGACCTATTTGTTCTTTGTAAGACTAATTTGGGTTTAGCTGTATCATCTTGTGATCTTAGTGTCGATGGTTATCTGCCGTTGATTTGTCTCCAATAGTCACATGCTTGGCCTTCGCATTTACGTAAAAAAGTTAAAGTTAATTCTTGATTGTCAGACGACGCGGAGTAGTCTTTTTGATACGATGTGGAACAATTTCATAAACTTAAGCTATATATCAAAAAAGCTCTAATTGACATTATATCATAGTAGCACCTCACAAATAAAGAATGGTCAAAAATCAATCATTTAATTATTTGCCTGTTACCACTGAAACTGGATCTCAAAATATAATGCTGAAGAGAATTAAACTCTTATCATTGCGAAAACAACTTTTTGATTTATTTTAGATAAATTAGCAATATTAAAAATGCGTAAGAGATTTACACAACATCTAATAATAATTTTTAATTGATAATAATTTAATTCGTCTACTAATTTACTTACAAAATCCTTAAAAATACATCAAGAAATTTAAAAAAATTAAAATATATTTTTATGCCAAAGAAAACCCTTATGTGTCAAGAGATTAAAAAATTGTTGACAAAAGTTTATACAATAAAAGAAAATAATAATGAAAAATCTATTAATGGTTCTCAACTTTAGTCCTTAGAATAACTAGACTTGGTTTTATTGACCATTTTAAAATCAAAAAATGACCACAAAAAATTGCGTCATTTTCTTTACATTTTTGAATTCAGTATCATCAAAAATGACTATGTTGTATGATTATATATTATATTGATTTTTTTATTAAACTTGACCTTAAATTTCATTTAAAATTCATTTTCAAGTACAACTATAAATTTCATTAGGGCAGACAGGCAAAAAAAAATGTATAGTAGAATTTTATAAAACTCTACTATATAGAATAGTAGAGTTTTATAAAACTCTACTATACATTTGTATTTAAAAACTTATTTTTATTGTAAATGAAAGCAAAGGATTTACAACACTAAACAACATTTTAACAAATTTATTTTGAACGTAACTCGCATTTTATTAAAAAAAATCGTTTTTTCAGTGCGACAAAATTATTTTGACAATTTTCCAAATAACATTTTACTTGCAAACCGCAGTTATGGGCAATTAAGAATATTTATTTGATGTAAACACCACAGATGATAATTAAACTGTAAACTTTTGACAACAGTCAAAAGTTTAGTTTAGGTTTATTTTTGTTATGTATTATAATACATAACAAAAATTAAATAATAATGGGTCATGTTGCACCGTTAAGTCCAGATAAGGAAAAAGTGCTTCACTCCATTAGTTACATGGCTAGAGCTATTGAACGCAGCCGAACTGTGATTAAAAAATAGGTTAATAGTCCGCATATGTATGGATTAAAAAAAGTCCCGGACGTCCATCAACATTAAGTGACCTTGATAGGCAAAGGTTGTTGTGACAAGCTTTAAATTCTTCATTAACTGCACGTCAAATTGCTGCAGAAGCAGATGTGATTGCTAATTTACTTACAGTTCAGCAAGTTATTCATAATGCTTTTCACCTTTTGTGCAAAAAAACCATCAGCGAAAGCCACCTTTGACAACAAATCGTATTAACAATCGATTAACTTTTGTGCGATTGGCTATCATGATAAATCAAAAGTTCATTTTATTGATAGAAAAATAAAGGCTAAGGATTATCTTTTAATTGTTCAAGATTTTTTAAGACGTGAAGCATCTATCATATGCTTCACGTCTTAAAAACTATCTTTACTTTCTAGAATGATTGAAGTGATTTTAAAAAATGGTAAAATTACCCACTATTGATTTTTTAAAATTGAGATTTTTTTATAAATGAAAATTTATATGAATTTTTTCCAAAAGTGTCTTATAATTTTGTCGCACTAAAAAAACAGTTTTCATTTAATAAAATGTGAGTTATGTTTAAAATGAATTTTTTTAAAATGTTTAGTTTTGTAATCATTTTGCTCTCATTTACTATAAAAATTAGTTTTTAAATATAAATGTATAATAGAGTTTTATAAATATTTTAGGGGTGTCTTATCATTATGTTGCACAGTGTATGAACTCTTTTTAAATATAGTATTACACTAAGAGTCAAATGTAAATGGAAAACAAAAATAATTCATTTTCAAGTATAAGCTGTTCTAATGACATTTGGTATTAAGTAATTTTCATTGTAAATATGACATACTGCAAACATCATTTTGTATTAAGTAGTTTTGCACTGCTTACATAAAAACAAAAAAATTTATTAAAAGAATAAAAAGTTTTATTTTGTAGCAACTGATTTTTAAGAAATGCTGTCAAATAATCTTTTTTGATTTTGTTTGATCAGAAAAATGTTAAACACTTTTTTTTTATCACTTCTTGCTGTTAAACCATTTTTTTAAAATAATACTTGATTTGAGTAAGTGTAAATTAAAACTACTTACATGTTCAAAGATTCTATAAAAAATAAATAAGGATTTTACTTTTTAGGATTCATAAGATTTATTTTGATAAAAATATATATAAATGTATGATATTTAGTATGTAATAGGGCAACAGAGCAACTAAACTCTTAAAGCATAAGGAGTCATCGGGTAGATCTGTTTATTGCAGTAGCAAAAAAAAAAAATTAAAAGTATAAGGTATCAAACAAAGGAACATTTTAAACAGGTTTTTTTTCTTACTACTTACATTAGGTTAAGCTACACATATTTTCCTTCTATAGTATATTTTTGTAATATTTCTTTTTTTATTTAGACTTCTCGAACATTGACTGGTTTGAGTTTTGGTAAAAATTTTATAATATAATACATTTTTCATATTTGAACAATTAAAATAGTTTAACATAAATAAGATGAAAAGTTTTTCTTCAACATGTATATTAGAACTAAATGATGATGAGAAGGCAATTGAGCAACTTGCAAGAAAATTTACTGCTGAAGAAATTATCCCTATGGCTGCTCACTATGATAAAACAATGGAAGTATGTTTATTTTTGATATTTTTTGAAATCAACTAAACTCAGAAAATTCAGAGCATACACTTGAAATAATGAAGAATTATGAGCATACACTTGAAATGCTCTACAATCTTCATCTTTTCTCTTCCAGTAACTTCCAACTGTAATTAATGGTTGCTTGCAGCCTTGTTGGAAGCAAAGATGTTTAAAAAAATAATAATAATAAAATCCCAGTATTCTTTTTATAATATTTGGATCCTTTTTTTTCTATTTTTCTTATGCAAAACATTTAGCAATTAAATTATCAATGGGATGTGGATGGTGTGAGTCAACATGTTTGTGTGCATGACACATTTTATGTGTCCTATTTTTTAATTATACAATGTTCTATGGTTTTATTGCTTTTTTCAGTTCCCATGGGATTTATTCAAGAAAGCTCATGGACTTGGACTTTTAAATGTTGCTATTCCAGAAAAATATGGTAATTAATTGTAAATTTCTAATGACTATTATCATTATTAATGTGTCATTATAACTGATAACAAGTTAATTATCTATATTATTTAGGGATGTGTATATTATAGATTATCAATTGTTATCAATTTAATAATCTGTATCATTCATAAAAATTTAGGGAGTTTAACGTCTTTAAAGCTATTATTTTTTAGTCTAAAGCTCTAGAGTCCAGTAGTCCTTTTACACGGTTTTACATAAGGAGTCTAGATTTAAAAATTAACTGCTGCTCTCTCCTGAATTTTTTAGGCTTTGATTTCTTAGAAGTCCAGCAGTAATAAGTGATTTTGTGACTTTTAAAACTATGATTTTTGATGAAACTTTACATCCTTTATATTATCATTGCTCTATATGTATAATATTATTGATATTGATTATTATTGTTTTAACTAGTATATATAACTACAAGATAAAAATTTAGATAAAAATAGGATAGATAAGGAAGTTACAATTTTTTAGTATATTTATTTTTATTTATTTAATAATTGGTACAAAAAAGTGATAAATTAACTAACTAGGTTTTTACAGCCTATGTTTAAAGATATACCCAATTTTGATAAAAAAAATCATAAGCTAGGCTTTAACAGCCAATATATTTAGATTTAGCCAATTTATTTACCCAACTTTGATTTAAAGTCTTTTAAAGTATAAGATTTAGATTACACAAATGATTTACACAAATGATTTCTTTAGTCTTAGCTATTCTAATTTTTAATTACTCAATAAGAAAAAGTATTTCTTTGGGTTTTTTGTTAATTGACAAAACTCATGTTATGTCCTCCTCTAGTTAAAGCTATTATTTTTTTAGGTGGGTTTTCCAAGTTTAATGATCTAGTTTTCTAGGTTTAATGGTTTAATTTTGACAACAAAAGAATACTAATGTCTCAGTTTCTGTAAAACGCCATAATTTCATTTAATAAACCTACTTAGAATTATAAATATTTGTTTTTTTAATTTCTTTATATTTTTCTATTTTATTGTACTTCATCGCAACGGTGAAAAACTTTATGAACGATTGAGTAACTTCACAAACAAGAATCAAAAACTTCATGAAATTTCATAACAAAAATAATTTGAAACAAAAAAGTATATAAATAGTTATAAATAAATGATTCTTTTAATAAAAAGAATTTGATGATATAATTTTTAAAAAAATTAACATTTTTGCACATTAAAATCATTAAAAAATTTTTTATGATTTTTTATTCAAGTTTTAAATGAATTTATTATTTTTTATTAAAAAAGAAAATTAATATAACTGGTAGCTTACGCAAAGAGTTAAATTTTAAAAAATTAAAAAGTTAAATCTTGGTGTTATAAACAATTGTTAATACAACTAATTTGAAAAAATAAACACTTATTTGAGAAAAGTACAGATGTTCAATTCATGTTCAATGTTCGATGTTCAATGTTCAATGTTCAGTTTGCATAGTAATGCTTTTTATTTTGTTTTTAACAATTATTTTCAATAATGTTAAATGAGTTAAATTTAAAAAAATTAAAAAGTTAAATCTTGGTGTAATAAACAATTGTTTCTGTTAAATGGTAAAACAAAAGAGAAAAAGTTAGTTAATTGAATCTAATAAAATGAAATAATATATTTAATACTTTGTACTTATTATATTGAAGCTATATAATAGAGAAGCTAATAACAGTGATATAATTTCTAAGATCTCACCTAAGTTCATAAAATTTAAAGTTTATATTTGCCACTCACAAAAAATGCACCCAGACCATTTTACCTGAGCAATACAATGTTTTAATAGTTACTTAGAACCAATTTTTAATGTACTCACCTCCCAAAGGGAGATAGGTAATACTAATACCACTGCAAAGTAATATTAATACCAATGCAATAATATTAATACCAATGCAAAGATGGGTAATAATAATATTAATACCAATGCAAAGATGGGTAATAATACCACTGCAAGTTCTCTTCCTCCACCAAATTTTATATTATTATTTATCTTATCATTTTTTATTTATTTATATATTTAAAAAAATTTAGTCAAATCTCATGAAAATTAAATTTAAAGTTCTTTAAATTAAATATTTTTTAGAAATATTAAAAATTTAACTTTATTATTGATTTAGATCTGACGATATAATAGCTATTATATCATCAGATTTAAGTCAATGTTGCCTTGGAAAAACATTAAAGAAAATTGTTTATTTAATAAAATTGACCAGAATCAAGCAAATTAAATCTTTTGTGGAAGTAACAGAAATGGGTTGTAAAGCATATTCAAACTATATATAGTCACCATAAAAAACTTGCTTGGATGGATTTAAGTAGGGATGTACTGGAATTCCATTCTGGCCGAAAATACAATATTTCAGGTTGGAATGCCTGAGGTGCAAGCTTTCACCCTAATTTTAAAGGTAAGAAATAACATAATATAATTCTCATTCTAGCCGTAAATCAGGCCAGAATATCATTAACAATTCTGGCAAATCTGGTCCCAGCCGGAATTTCAAATTTCCATTCAGATACACCCATCAATGTACTGATTTGAAATATATGATGAAATTTGATATGATAGATTTTCAGATTTATATGATAGGTTCATATAGCAAACACAAAATTAAAATACAAAGAATTAAAAAAATATATTGATTTAATGAAAGTTTAGTTGTGTTTAAACCTTTTATAACTTTTTTCTAGAAGCGAATAATCTATGTTAACAGATCTAGAATATGTGTTACTGTTGAAAAGAAGTTTGATTTAGTACCTGGACATAAACTTTGTGCAGAATGTCAAAAAATATTGTATTTAAAATATCAAAAAATAAATTTGATTCATTTTACTATAGTTATAATGACTGCAATGTCTTTCACCTTATAAAGGAGAAATTAAATTCAAACATTAATTGCCTAGGTTGTTCTAAAATTAGTAGCTCATAAAGACAGTAAACTACAAAAAACAGGATGAATAAGATCCACACTCAGGCCTTGTTATGAGATTTTGTTGCGTAAAGTTAATGTAACTTTACTTAAAATACATACTTATATCATTAAAAGTTAACTTATGTCAGTTGCGTATATTAAAGTGCTGCATTATAATTAAATTTAATTTTAAACCATGTTAAAAATCTAAATACCTTTAAGTTAAACAATATTGTTAAAAAAAAAAAGTTATCAATAAAAAATGTAAATATGTTGCTTGAAAAAAACATATTTCTTTATTTTAAACTTTTATTTCAAAAGCCTGTTTAATTATCCAATTGAAAAAGGTTTTAGTGTAACATAAATGGCTTTAACCCGTAAAATCACCATTAAGTTAATAATAAAAGAGTTCACCTAGAGTTCTGTAAAAAATGTTTATTTGTTTAAAAAATGGGTTTTCTAAATTTTGTGAACACCAAATTGGTGTATTTCTGTTAGAAATGCTTTTAGTCTACATTTATTATGTGTTTCTGAGTACCATCAGAATGCAAAAATTTAAGCATTACATATGAGATATCTCTGGCTATAATGATCTCTTAACATTACTTGTATGTGATACAATGACTTAATGGTGCACAATTGTGAGAACTTCCTAAGCATCAACATATTGAAGTACATCACTACATCGTTTCATAAGAACAGCATGTATAAAAATCACTTTAATCAGTAGCAAAAACTGTGGTTCAGTTCTACTATCTTTTCCTTTAAATTAGTTCATAGAAATAGCTTGAAAACTAATAGATCAACTAAGAAACCATCACCATAAAAAGAAAGTAGGATATTTTCAGAAAATAAAAAGCTACATAATAGTAGTAATAGTATTATATATTTATTAATATATTTAGGCTTACAGCCTAAATATATTAAATAAGTTGTTGAGCGATGTACACTTAAACAGCTCTCATTATTCAACATAACTAATTACATTTAAATTCCATTTGTTCAAGGATGTTTTTGGAAAAAATTCCTTGGTTGAATATACTTTTTCATTTTTTATTGAATATCTTATATAATTGAATTAAATTGCCTCAAAACTATTTTACAACCAAAGAAGTGTGTTCCAGTTTATCGACTCTTCTCTTGATTTTCTTTTTAAGTTGCAATATTAATTTAATACCACGCTGCTGGACCTATTCTAAAATATTTATAGGCCACCTCAATCCTGAATTTTGCAACAAGACAATAAGTGCCAAAAATAAGTTTTTCATAAGTATGTCAAGTTGGGTCTTGAAAGAAGCAAAATTTTAAACGAGTTACAAAAATAATAATCTTTTAAAACAAAACAAAAAATTTTTTATTAGAGGGTTGTCCATAAAGTCTATATGCCAAAAAGTCTCCCTGTTGCTATGTGTATTTTTATGTCCCCCCTTCCTTAAAAAGTACGTACACTTTTGAAATACTCCCTACTCCATTTTTTTTTATATTAAAAAAGTTTTATTTTAGAAAAAAAATTTATAAATTAAGAAATTTTTTTTAAATTAGAACATACAAACTTTTAAAACTGATTTTACTCTTCCCGCTCTGCCCAATTCGTTTATTTAATGCAGATCCCTCTTTCCCCTAATCCCTTTAAATACTTATACAGCCTAAAGCCCTTGGTTTTGGCACTGAATCTAAATTTTGAAGACAAATGTCTTGATATATATATATATATATATATATATATATATATATATATATATATATATATATATATATATATATATATATATATACACACGCACACACACTTTAATAGGCTTGGTCATGAAGCCGGTGCAATCGCATTCTATTCCTGACCACGCAAATTATATTAAGTTACGACAACTTGACCACAGCATTTTAGATGTTGAAGAACATTTAAATTCATATATGTTTTCATGTATTTCTGAAACCTTTTGACACATTAAAACAATTAAATTCATAAATAATCTTTTGTAATCAAATGTTTTAATATTAGCAAAGCGCTTTTAAACAAAGTAATGGTTTACTTTTATTAATCGATTAGAGAATAAAAATTTTTAATTTTATTTTTTTAATGATACAAAGTTAAGTAAGTTTTATTAAATATTATAATAATAATATAAATAAAAATATAGATTAATTTTTTATTCTTTAAATGTAAATCTTTTTAAAATGTGTACAATCAATTTTTTAAAAATAAGACTTTTAACAACAACTGTGTTTTCAATAAAATTTAAAAAATAATAATCATCAAAGTTAATAAAATTAATAATCAACATACAGGAACTTACAGGTGACTGTACTTAAACATACATATATAGATAGTGAATTATGAATGGATGAACACTGTGTCAGATGGTGGAACAAAACAGCCTACTCACTAAATAAATCAGTGGTATTGTGAAGCAGTTCCGCTTCCTCTTCATAAATATATTTTACCTTAATAGTTTAACCATAAAAGCTTTCTAATAATTTGATGCAATAAAAACGAGTTTCTAGTTTGCAAAAGACAAAATTAAATTCATAATTTATTTAATATGCTCTTTATATTTTAATTTATAAGATATGTAATAGTATAATGAACTGATGGACTTATATTTTATAATATATATATATATATATATATATATATATATATATATATATATATATATATATATATATATATATATATATATATATATATATATATATATATATATATATATATATATAATATATATATATATATATATATATATATATATATATATATATATATATATAGATTGATAGATATAAGAGTATATATGTATATATAAGAGAGGTAAATGTGTGCGACCTTGCACATAAGGCCCTGTAATTAAATAACAGTCATGTTGCAACATGCTTTTTATTTTTAAAAACTTGTTTTAGTACATCTGCAGTATTTTTTAATGACGAATTAAATAAAATTTAACTTTATTTGGCCGTAAATTACTTTTAAGGTACCCCCTTTAGTAAGTCAGTAAAAAAATTTTCACACAAAATGAGTAATATTGAAAACAAAGTTTAAAACCTGTTATTTACGGTTAAAAATAAGGGTTGTCTGAAATATATGTCCTTCTTACTCAGAGCTAGTATATAAGGGATGGCATGTGTGTGCATAGAGGGACACTATTCCCTCTCCCCAACCTTTATGTATACATCCTTTTATGTTGGCAAACTATGATCTTTAGTTAGAAAATTAATTTTCTATTGGTTAGCTGGCAAATTATGGACAATAATTAGGCGGTATGGTTTTGTTTTATTTTTTATTGAAAGTTATTATTCATTCAAAAACATTAATCTATTAACAAGTACTTATTTATTGGCAACTTTCCTTTAAGGCTTTTCTTTTAATCTATAATATTTAAAACTAAAAAGAACTGCTAGTTTTCAAAAATAAACTTTTTTAATTCATTAACTATTTTTTATGTTGCTTTTATGGATAAAATATTTTTTTAAAAAAATTTAATATCAATGTTTTACAAAGTCCAAAGTTTCCTATGATAAAAAATTAAGAAAAAAGGTCTTTATTTTAAAACAGATCTTCATATATTTTTTTGAGGATTTGTAATATATATTAATAATATTTAAAAACTATTTATATATAATATTTAAATATGAGAAATAATGTGTTAAAAAAACAACAGTTATGAACTAATGTACAAACATTAAAATTTTATACTAACACACCTCCCCCCCATTACTGCAAAATGGCGCCAGGGTTGAGGACGGGAAGAGGGTGCACAAAATAAATTCTTTTTTTTACTATTGTTAGTTATTCTGATGCTATTAATTATTAGTTATTAAATTGTATAATAATAAAAAAAATTACCAACATCACCACACACACACTCACACACACACACACACACACACACACACACACACACACACACACACACACACACACACACACAAAAGCGCGACATGATAAACAATACACATATGAACATGTCAATATAAATGATGCACAAAATTACACCAAAATATAAACAAAAATAGAAATACACAACAATATAATCAATACAAAAAATGCAAGACAATATAAACAATGCAAACAGCGTTAATTTATAAAATTTAAAATTATTATAAATTAAAATTAGTTTATTTTTATAACTTATAGCTTTTTTTTTCTAAATCTTGCTTATATATTTATAGCAAAAAAATAATAATATTAAAATAAAAGTACTCAAAATAGATTTCTAAAATTTAAAATAAAATTTTAAAATAATATTGTAATATTTATAATATAAGATTCTATTAATAGAAAGCTCTGATTCATCAAATCAGAATTTTCTAATATTTCATAAACCAATCCAAGTTTTCAGCTTTTTTCAGTATTTTTTTAATCATATTTATATAAATCAACACATTTTTAATATCATAAAAGTTTGAGATAGTCATAAAGTCATACTATCATAAAAATCATATGCAATCATTACAATCTAATCTATTATTTCAAAATTATATGAGATATCATGGAACACATTTTTCCAAATTATACAATACCAATGAAAAACAATTGTGTAATGTATTAGCCACCAATTGTGTTATAAAAAATTTATATTTATCAGGTTTTTTTAGTTTAAAACTCAAGGTCTGAGAAATTTGATTAACTAATGCAAGCATAATTGCATAGATATGATTGGTTAATTAATGCCTTCATAATTGCTTAGATATATAATTAATGTTGAAACATTAGATATATTTTAATGATAGTTTATTATTTTAAATATTTTCAAATAATAAATGAATTTCATATTTTTTTACTGTAATTTCCTTGAGATTTAATATTTGTTTCTTTACAGGTGGACTTGGGCTCAATAATGTTTCTTCGATGATAATTGAAGAGGAAATGTCATATGGATGCAGTGGCATAAATGTGGCACTTGAAGGAAATTCCCTTGCTGTATGTTGTCATTGTCTTTATTTTTAAAAATGAAAATTTTTCTTGGTAAAAAAAAAAATTCAATACTCTAAGATTATTATTTATATTAATTATTTTATTCTATTTTTCCTTTATTATTTTTTTATTTTATTATAACTTATTTTATTTTATTATTGTTTTTACTTCTTCTATTTTTTAATACTTTAAGGCTATATAAAAATGAGAGTTGTTAAATATGCAAGTTAAAACAACTATGAAATAATACTTTTTACATTAAAGATTTTCTTTTTGTAAAAAGATGTCAGAAGATTTAAAAAGATAATAGATGCAAATGTTCATTAAAATGGGTTTAAAATTTAAAAGACAAACTTCACACTGCAATTTTAAAGTTCTTTCAACTTAAATAGAAAAACATTAATGACTGACAATAGTTTGTGCAAGGGCAGTTGATGAATTATAATTTTAATAGGGTTTATTGTGTTTTTTTTTAAAATAAATTTTGGCAGATATTTTCACAATAACATGACAAGGTTTGACAAAATAGCATTCTTGTTATGGTTAAGGTATTTGGTTAGCTTATTTTTCTTATTTAGTAGTGGGATTAGTCACCAGTGGCGCATGTAAATATTTTTAAATAAATCTTTGTGCAACTTTTCTTTTTTAAATTTAGTATTGCATTAGTTTTACAGCCAAAGTTTGATTGAATGTAAACTTCTATTTGTATTTACTTTTTTTGCATCTTTATTAAAAATTTATTTGTTTATTTAAAACTATTATAACATAAAAATTAGAAAAATGAATAATACTCAATAAATTGTTTTCATGGTGTATTCTTAAAAAACACTTAAAATAAAGTGTACTTAATAATAAAATAAAGTAATAACAAAATAATGTAATAATAAAATAAAATAATATAAATAATAAAAATAAAATATAGCTATACTTAATACTTGTAAAACACTTACAAAGTGTTTTTACATTTTGTCTAGAAAACTGAGTGTACAGGTTGTTTTCGAAAATTAAATTTGCAGTGTACTACAAGGTCCAGTAATACATTTAAATACATTATGAGTTCAATTTAGTTTGTTTTTAAATTTATCAGCAAGAATCTTGATTTTATTTGTTATCGTTAATCTTGTATTTATTTGGTTATTTATTTTTTACATTTTTAGTCAACTTTTATGCCTATAAAGTCACTTTTCATTTTGCCAAGTTGCATCATTGATAAATTTAATCAGTCTTATTAAAGAAATTAAGTTTTTATTTTGCTCGATTTCTAATAAAAGTAGAGACGTTTAAAATCTAATCTAAGACATCTAACCGTATAACTTATACTCAACTTTTATAGTAAAATAGTCTAAAAGATTATTTTTACCTGTAAACATCCCTCTTTAAAATATACTGTTGAAGTTGAAAACAAAAATAAGATACTCAACTTTCTGGATATAACTGTAAATAACAATAAACAAGGAAAAATATGAGTTCAAGGTTTACAGAAAAGATGCTATTACCAATATCCAAATCAAACCTGATTCACGATCCCATTATTTTAAAAGCAATATTCAATGTGTACATACACAGAGCCTACTCAATATGCAGCAAAAATCATTTACAAGATGAGATAAATTTCTTAATTAAAGTTTTAACTGAAAATAGGTACAATGAAAGAATTAAAGACATTTCTTATCAGGTTCAAAAAAACGTTTAGCAATTAAAAATGAAATCCAAGCAAACTCTAATATCCTTCCTGCGATTTCTTTATCACAGATACCCATAATATCTCCCAGGTTTAAAAAAAACACAACTGTTTTCAGATCAAAAGCCAACTTAAAAATGATATTAACCTCTAGAAATTAATCAAAATTACCAGTGCAAATACTCCAAAATGTTGGTGAATCAAAACTTCAAATACGGACAAGGGTTCAACAACACTAGTATTGTTTGATTGAAGGGAAGTTAAACCAGTCTACATTAGCTTTGCATAAAGTAAATTGCAATAAGAATATTGATTAGGAAAAAGCAAAAAAACTTAAAGTAGAGCCTTAAAAATTTAATAGAAAAGTTTGTGAAGCTTGGGAGATACAAAAACATCAATGTTCTCCGATGAATTGTGGAATTAATTTAGACTACGGACAATATCTTAAAACAAATTTTGGGACTTCATTTTCTTTATATATATATATATATATATATTTTTTTTATTTGCATTCACTCCCAACAAGGCTGCAAGCTACCACTATTAAGTTGGGAGTTACTAGGGAAAAAAAAAAGAACAGAGTTATAGAGCAAGGAAACGGTTGACAGAAGACTTAATAAGTTGAAGGTTGTATGAGTCAGAAAAACATGAAGATGGGAGAGAGTTCCAAAGGATTGAAGTGCGGGGAAAAAAACTAGATGAATAAAAGTTTTTAGAGCATGCAGGGACAGATACAGTAAACAAATGAGACTTAGCTGAATGACGAGTAAAACAAGAATGAATTTTAGTTAATGGAACTAGAGATGACAACTCCTTTGAGAAGTGACCATGATAGTATCTGTAGAAAAGAGAAAGAGATGCAACTTTACGACGATGGGAAAGAGGTTCAAGCTTAGCAGATAGTCCAGGTCCAACAACATTTACAATGCGTTTTTGGACCTTGTCAAGAAGAGAAAGTGAATCGTTAGAAGAACCAGCCCAAATATGACAACAGTATTCCATACAGGGACGAATAAGAGATTTGTAGAGGTAGAGAATGGAATCAGAAGTAAGGAAATGGCGAGCATGATAAAGAGAAGCAACCTTAGCAGAAGCTAATTTAGCAATCGATTGTATATATGGTTTCCATGAGGAAAGAGGAGGACTCAGTAAGAGGATTGCCATTCATTAATATAGGAATGTTGACCATATTACGGTAGTTGTTTGCAGTAAGCAATTGGGTTTTTGAAATTCACAAGCCACTGTGAACCCCAATCTATTACTGAAGTGAGATCAGATTCAAGATCAGCTGCTTGTTCTAGGCGATCGAAAAGAGAAGACTTTTTGTCAAGACAGGAGTATAAAGTTGAGTCATCAGCAAAAAGAGCTACTTTAGATGAAAGGTTGTCAGGAAGATCGTTTATGTAGATTTATTTATGTAAAAGAAACCATTGATGTCAAATTTTAATTTTTTGTTGTTATTTGCTGGTGTATATTACATAAATTGTAATATGCTGATGATGCTGGTGCCTATAATCTGGTCAAAATTCAAATAAATAATTTAGTATTGAGAGAATTTGTATTATCTGATGTTTTAAAGTAATTTTTATATATATATATATATATATATATATATATATATATATATATATATATATATATATATATATATATATATATATATATATATATATAAACACACCCTTGTACAAGATGTGAACATTTAAAACATATGTAAACCTGCAGAAGTTAGAGTTACCTTCAGACTATGAACTATGCAATGTTATGCCAAGTATTTTTCATGATTTTAGTAAAATATAAATTTTTGTTTAATTTTGGAAATATTTAAAAAACATATTTTTATTGAATTCTAGTGTGCACCTGTGGCAATTGCTGCAAATGAAGAGCAAAAAAAAGAATATTTTGGAAGGTTGACCTCAGAACCTCTTGTTGCTGTAAGTTTTAACTATTGTATGTTTATATTATTGAATTTTTTTATTCTTAAAAATAATGTCATAAAAAAATAGGAAGTTGAAGGGGCTTGAGTGCATAAATCAACTATCTTATAGCCTGCTGCCGCAAAGGAGTGTTGCTTCATTGACTAATGGTTTGGCGTAAGGCAGCAATCTTTTCTTTCATTATTCTTTATTTTTTGTTTTTGTTTTTTTTTCTTTGAAAAATCAAAGTGCACGTTTTTATGTTACGAGCACAAAAATAATATTAGGAAACTGTGTCCTTAACTATGAATTAATTGCAGTATGTATGTATGTGTGTGTATATATATATATATATATATATATATATATATATATATATATATATATATATATATATATATATATATATATATATATATATATACAGCGGTGGCCAAAATTTAAAGACCACTCATTTTTTAGTTGGTTTCTTAATCTTTAAATCAAAATTAAGAAGATTCTAATTGACATATTAAATTTTTTTTTTTAAATATCTTGTTAATTAAAACATACGGATTAAAATGGTATAATTTTTTTAATCTAATTCTAATTAAATAGCGTTTAACCTATTAAAAAACTGATGAGTACTTATAAATCTTTTTTAAATAAATTGGACAAAATTTAACGACCACTTTCAAATCTTTAATTTGCACTTATTAAAAATAATAATCGATTATTTTTTTAAACTGTCTTAATTGCTTATTACGTTGGTTATAAAATAAAATGTCGAAACCTGAGTTTCGATATCAAATAAACATTTGTTTTTTGAATTGCAATAAGGATATAAAAATATTGCAAAAATGCGTGCAAAGATCGAAGAAAAAGACAGATACGCGGCTCTTGTATTAAAATAAGAAGGCTATAGCATCAGACAAATAGCAGAAAGACTCGGAAGGTCTCACTCTTGCATTATTAACATAATTCAACGATACAAAGAGACCGGGTCAATTAATGATCGTCATAGGACTGTACGCAATAAAATTTCAAATGACCGTGATGTTCGCTCGTTAGTGAGATTAATGAAAGAAAACAGACAAGCATCATCTACAGACTTGTCTACGAAATGGACACTGTCAAATGGTCTGAAAGCAAGCCCTAGAACTGTGCGATGGGTCCTCCACAATTTAAATTATTTGTCGTGCTGCTGCAAAAAAACCACGCTTAAATAAAAAACAAAAATTTGCCAGGAAAGAGTGGTGCAAACTACATAAAAATTGGTCAACAGATCAGTGGAGTCGTGTGGTCTTTAGTGATGAAATGAACGTTGAGGTAGACAACTGAAAAGGTCGCGTTATGTTGCGTAGACTTCCAAGCGAACGGTTCGATGAATCATGCATTTTGAAACAAACAAAACAAGGCAGTGGTTCAATAGGCATTTGGGCCTGTATGAGTGCCTGTGGAGTTGGCGTTTTTCATTTATTCGATGGTAGACTCAACAAAGAAAGGTACATCGAAATTTTGCTCGCTTATTCCTAGCATTGATTTATGGCAGTTGCAAGATGGATTTATTTTCCAGCAAGATAATGCGCAGTGTCATAAAGCGCATTTTGTTAGCGATTGGTTCAATTCTAATAAAATTCAAGTGCTTCCATGGCCTGCCAATAGTCCAGACTTGAATCCAATAGAGAATTTATGGTCGTGGCTTGATCGCAAGCTTGATAAAGAACAACTTTACAATTTGGAAGATTTGAAATCTTCTATCTCTTATCATTTGAAAAATGTGCCTGATGAAGTAATCAAAACTTTAATGAATTCAATGCCAGAATGAGTACAAGAGTGCTTGAAAACAAATGGAGGAACAACAAATTTCTAAATTATTTTTTTATTGCTTTTTGAATTTTTTTTGAAACTGGTCTTAAAATTTTGTCCAATTTTTTTTTCCATTTATATTATTTACTAGTCAGTTTTTTTAATTTTGTAACATTTTGTAAAAAAATTATAAATTCTTTTATAATAAATATAAAATACAATAAAAATTCTTTCTAAAAATGTTTTTCTTTTTTTGATACCTTTTTTCAAAATAAAATTATACTAAGGTTAAAAATAAAATTTAAAAAAAAAATGAGTGGTCTTTAATTTTTGGCCGCCGCTGTATATATATGTATATATATATATATATATATATATATATATATATATATATATATATATATATATATATATATATATATATATATATATATATATATATGTATGTATATATATATATATGGTGTTCAGGATAAATTTTACAGTTTTGTACAGGAAAAGGAAATCTTCTTTGTAATTACTAAATTTAATGAATTGAAAAAAATAATTACAGAAATTACAATATTATCAACAAGTTTCACTCAAAATAGTCACCATTAATATTGATCACAGCTTCAATCCTGCTTCAGAACCTGGAACAAACTGATGTTACAGTCTCCCTGGAAAGGGGCTCAAAAATATTCTTAATTTTATCTATTAACTGGGCTTTTGTATTATTGGCACAGTGATTGGTGTATTTTTCAACTGTGCCCCATACAAAATAATCCATGGGGAAAGGTCTGGGGAATCTAAAAGCCAAACATTTGGACTGGTGAAGTCGTAAAAATTTTCAGACAACCATATTTGACTTTTCCCAATGGTATGGCAAGTAGCCGAATCCTGCTGCCATACATATGACCTACCATTTGCTACCCTTGTCATCCAGGGCTTGATTACAGTCTTTAGCAATTCCATGTAGCCATCTGAATTTGAGGTCCACACCTGAAGCCCGCTTTGAAAAAATGCGGAGGCATTACATCGCCCTCAGAGGACACACATTCAAAAACCATCACAGGTTTGGGAAATTTAGTCTGCATTAAATGAGGAATGTCCTTAGGACTGTATGCAAGCCAACTGTTATTATGCTTGTTGTGTTTTTAATCCTGGCAAAAGTTTTTCTCATCGGAAAAGAACCAGATTGTTTCAGGTCCAGCAAGATGTTTCACTTCGTTCAGAAATTTCTTTGCTTTTATCAAACAATTTTCATTGTCTTTTCTGTGAGCAACTGGTTTTTGCAGCACTTGTATGAGTAGTAGCGAAGGTCTTCATTGAGTGCAAGCTTCATAGTGGAGGATGAAACATTCATTTCATGTGACAAAGCCCAAATTCCAATGCCAAGGTTCTTCAATATCTTTTCCTGCAGATCTTTAAGGAATTCTTCTGTACAAACGCTATATATATATATATATATATATATATATATATATATATATATATATATATATATATATATATATATATATATATATATATATATATATATATATATATATATATGCATATATATATCAAAACAAAGCAACTTGATCAAAAAAGGCATGTAATTATTAGAAAGTTTACTTATATTACATACGATCCTGAATAAAATGTTATACAAGTGGATTTTTTCAAAACGCCTTAAGGTATAAAAAATCAATTTTGACTTTTTTACAAAATAAGCTAGTTTAGATATCTACAAGTGTTATTGAATACATATTTTCAAAGAGTTCTGAAAAAATTCATAAAAATTATTTGTTTCAAAAAACAAATTTGAGAAACTCTTTGTAAATTGTTTCAAATTTAGATAGAGTTTCTCCTAATAATTTTTTTTTAATTGCGTTTTTCTTGAAATGCGTAATAATATTAAGGCGTTTTAAAGACGGTTGTAGCATTTTTATAGTAAAAAGCATATTTATAGTAAATAAATGTACATAAAAAACTTTTATTTGTCAAAAGAAAGTTTTAAATTTATTTCTAGCTACAGGTTTTTTTTTTTTTTTTTTTTTTTTTGCCTCCACAGTACCTTATGGAGTAGCAGGACTGTCTTGTTAAGTTTTTTCTTTATTAAGTTTTAGACAACTTTTTTTTTTTAAGACCATCCATGGCTTATTAGGACTAATTACCTGAGCACATTAATGACAATAATAATTAGTATCTCAATCATGACACATATGCAACAAATTTTTACTCGGTGTTTTGATGTTTTTACAAATTTTAGCTTTTTAAAATCTTTTCGTTTGTAAAAGTGTATAATATCGTTATATATGTTTGTATATAATCTCTATAAAACTTCAAAAGTATTTTAAAATAATCGAAAAAAATTAAAAATAAAAGTCGCTAGTGGTAGGACTCAAACTGAAAATCTTTAAAAGTATATAATAGTTGTTTTAACAGAAATAAATGTAAATAAATAGATTAAAATTAAAATAAATAAATAGATTAAAATTAAAGAGAGCTTGACGCAATGCAATTTTCAAGTGAAAATCAAAAACTTGATGTTTTAGTATGTTTTGACATTACTTATTTTGAAGTTTACGTACATTAGATATTTGCATACATGTCCGTTCGCGTTTTCTTATAAAGCTAAGTACTCTTTCTCGCCACTACTTTAGTTGCAATGGCTGCCAAGGGTTTTGTGTCAAACACACTTAAATGAGCACTAACACTACTAACACTATTACTTCGGCAATAATATATAGAAATAAATAATATTCACGTTCGGCAATAATATATAGAAATAAATAATATATCTGCTATATATTTTGTACAGTTTTTAAAATTTGAATTTTTTTCAATTTTATGTTTTGAAATGTGTAGTTTAATTCATACACTAATTTCAGAAATAAAAATATATGTATAGACAATTTTTCAAGGCTTATTGTGTCACAGAACCTGGTGCAGGATCAGATGTTGCTGCAATTAAAACACGTGCTGAAAAGAAAGGGGATGAGGTTAGTATTAAAATTATTAATGTTAATTATACTAATTCTATTGTTCCTTTTTTAAAATTATTCATAATATAAGTTTCAATAATTACTAACACTTAGAAAGTTATTTTAGTAAATATAAAAACTTTACTTAATGAAAATGTTTGTTCTAGTTTTAGTTCTAAAAATAATAATATTATTAAAATGAAAATATATATATATATATATATATATATATATATATATTTTTAAAGTATTATGAGTTACAGTCTACATATATTATTATTTATGCTTCAGTCCATTAATCATAATCTGTGATGAAAATTGATCACGTTTTTTCAAAACTCAGAATATGGGATAGTGAGCTAATACAGATGTTTGTAAAGCAACTTACAGTTAATTAAATGGTTTAATCATGACTGTTCTTTGAACAACTAGAAAATATCTGCCCCTTAATAATAAGAAATGTGTTGTCCTACTGCCTTGTAGGATATACTTTTTAAGGCAAAGGATAGAAGATGCCAATTCTGACTTAACACATCCCCTGCTTTGGGACTCTTGGTTGAATAAAGGCTTAATAAAAATAATCATCTTAGGTAGACGTTTAATGCACCCATTAAATGCATCCTAAAAGTTTTATGGTTCTGAGGCCAGCTGGTAGTCAGTTTTCCTGAACTCTGTTGTAGCTCTCAGAGTGGCTGATTCTAGCAACAGCTTTAAAATATCTAACAGTGCCATAGATGGTGCCCCTGTTCCAATCATTTTAATCAATCCAAATCATTTATCTTCTCTACTCTACTTTTATCTTGTTTCTGATTCTAGTGTGCATTGTCGAGGCTGCATTTGAAGCCCGTTACGAGCCATTAGGGCTTAGGGTTTATTAATAATAATGAAGCAATTGCTTCGATTATTAGATAGTGTACTGAGCACTATCTGTACTTTAAGTTAAGTTCTTTAACCAATTTAAAAAATGACTAAAGTGTCATTTTTTAAATTGGTTAAAGAACCTCATTTTTGACAATGGATTTTTGTGTTTTGACAAACACAAAAATCCATTGTCATCACCAAAATTGCTGACAAAAGTGCCAGTAATTAGAGTTAATTCTAATTACAGTAATTGACTGTAAGTAGAATTAGGGTAAAACAACTAGTACTCCTAATGCGCTCTTATGCTACTTGTTATCTAAAATTCACCTCTCTATGCTACTTGATCTCTAAACAGATTATGTGCTTTTATTTTTAAAGTTGTTGCAATTGTCAAACTTTTGTCAGTTATTATGCAAACATCAGAGTTTTTTTCAGACATGATTTCAGAACTTTCTAGTAATTAGTTTTTATATGCATATTTTTAATGACCAAGTGGCAACAGCTGATTGCATGGCAAGCACTGAATATTTTACTCTAGTGGTTCATCATAGAAGTTTAAAGAGTCATGGAAAAGTCATGGAGTTTCAATTTCAAATTTGAGTGGCCACGCTGAAAACTTGCCCTCTTTTTCTCTAGGAGAAACCCTTGAACATTATAAAAAAAAATTTTTAGTACTATATCTGGTCTTAGGCAGATAATAAGAATTTTTTAATTTATTGAGATGAATTTATTAAAATACTTTTGTTTATATCTATAATTGAAAATATGTATTTAAAAATTTTTAGTGGATTTTAAACGGCAGTAAAATGTGGATAACTGGTGGTGGTGTGGCTAATTGGTATGTCTTTATTTAAATTTAAAAGTTTTTTATATATTTAAATTTTATATATCAAATTTGTTCTATGCTAAAATATTTATTACTTATATTGCAATTAATAATACAGAATAAAAATTATTTTAGTTTATGAAAAGTTTTTGTATCGTTAAATCAAAGTTAACTTGATTTAATATTTTCGAGTTTAACCTTTTGTTTTGTTGTGATTTGTGATTAATTTATGTGATTATAGTAATAATAAAATATTATAAGTTTTTTTTTATTATTCTGTGGTTTCAATTTTCAAAAAATCTCAAACCCCTTTATCTAGTCTTCTCTCTAATATTAGCAAGGTCTTTGAGTCATACTAATATTAGAGAGAAGGTTTTGAATATCAAGTTGGGCTTCAAAAAAAGCGTAATTTTATAGAAAATTAAAAAAATTTAAAGTTTTTGAATGAATTTTTTTTTTAATATTATTGTAAAAAAAAACTAACATTTTTAAACAAAAACTGAAAAAATGCACTTTTTAAGACGTTCTTTAACAAAATCTTTTTAAAGAAGGTTACATTAAAAAAAGAAATATTTATGAAATCTCTATAAAATTTCACTTCTTTTAAGGCCCAACATGATATGTTTCATAAGAAAAATAAATTTGGTGAGATATAACACCTACCATTTGGTCCAGTGTCTTGATGCAGGAAATTTTTACGTTTATAATTAATCAGCTCACAAAAGTTTATTATTTGTGATCTCAGGAGATACAAACTTTTTCAAAAATATTTTCAGTCATAACCCTAATCTATAATCAACAATTTTCATCTCCTCTTTCTAACATCTTCTTTTGAGTCTAATAACTCTCCGATGGTGAATATGGTTTTTGATCTTCATATTCTATAACTGACTTGCTAAATGCTGTAACTAAAATATTCTATTGTGCAGTAGGTGGAGGCTAAATAGCAAGGGCTTTTGCTTATGACATATCAAAAGCTTTTAATAAATTTAGCCTTCTGGTCTTCTCCATAAGCTTGTGTCATATGGTGTATCTGGGAAAATTTTTAATGTTACTAAATCATTTCTTTCTAACCACAGTATTAAGGTCATCTTCAAAGGCCAATACTTGTCTTCATTTTTAGAAACTTCTGGGGTACCACAAGCTTTTGACTTTGATCCTGTATTGTTTTACCTACATTAATGATCCTCCTGATAATCTTACATCTAAAGAGAGATTTACTGACAACTTAACTTTATGCTCTTCCTGTGACTTCTCTTTTATTGCTTAGATTTTTCTTCTGTAACAGCTTATGGCTTGCAGGGGCTAGTGAATTTTAATTCCAACAAAACTCATTTATTTACTGCAAACAGATCAATTTTGTTGAATGGAACTCTTTCACTGAGCCCTCTACATCTTCTCAGATTATCATTTACTAGTGACCTATCATGGAAACCATATAAACAATCTATTGCAAAGTTAGCATCTACTAAGATTTAATATTTATTTTTTGTGCTTTCTGTTTTCTTACTTCTGATTCAGCCTTGTTGAGAGTTAGAATTTTTAAAAAAATACTTATTTGCTAGTCAAAAATATGCATGACAAATATTTAAAAAAGAAGGTCTTGTGATAATCACCAGCCGTAGAGAATTTCATTCACATGAATAGTGATTTTACAATATGATGAAAAATATTTTTTTGTAATACTTAAATAACTCTATAGGTATTTATGTCGTAATTTAATGGAGCAGGTAATTTTTATTTTAACAGTATGTTAATGTTTCAAAAACTGCCACTGCCATTACAAAGGTTTAAATTAGAAATTTATAAAATATGCAAAATAATCTAGCATGAATAAAAATATTTGTTTAGACAATGATAGTTTTATAAGTTACATTATTTCAGGTATTGAAAATACAGCAACAACTGGAAATAAAACATTACTTGAAAAAACTTGACTTTTAACTAAATTAGCTTGAGCTATTATCCAGCGTTCATTAAAAGCAGGTATGCCTAAAATAAGGTAGCCTATATAAAAAATATATTTCTCATTTTTAACCATGTAATGCTCTGGTTTATCCTGATTGATTTTAGCATGACTTATTATATATTGTTGAATTAGCAAATTTTACTTTTTTGTCAGAATTATCTATCATTTAAACCTATAAGGGTTTTATTCCACCTTTTTATTTTATTTTACTAGAAATGAAATACCTTGTTAGTATTGAAAATATGTACGAAGCATTCGTTAAAGTTATTTTTATAGCAAGTGTTTATAACACATTTTAATAACACAAATGTAAATCAATCATTTCATAAAAAAGAAAATTTTAGTTTTGCATAAAATTGCCTATTAAAAAAATCAACAATTTCTCTGTTTTTTTCTTTTTCAATATTTAAAGTTTTTTTTATTTATTTCTCGATTACTTTTCAAAAATATAAAATAGTTGTTTGCCAAACTATTAATACATATTCAAGAAATAAAACAAAATATATGTATTAAATAAAACAAAGTTTATGTATTAAGTTAAACAAGTTTTTAGTTTAGACAAATGTGTCTAAACTAAACATGATTAAATATGGTTGTGTCTAATGTAACGAAAAAATAAACAAATCTTTTTATATTTAAATAAACCAGAATATAAGTATAACATCTGATTACATTATTACTACATTGTTTTAAGTTAATCAAATTATGTACATCATATTATGACCAGTATATAAGTTTTGTAGAAATAGGTAGAATGCTAATTTTGAATGCTTATTTGGATAGTCAAGTATATAGTTTATAAGAATTGACAAATAGAATATTTATGTAGTTACCTTCATAACTAATATAACTTTTATATACTGTTTTTTTTTTTGCTGTTTTTAGTTTTTAATTTTTTTAATTTTTTGTTACTTTTTACATAACATTTCATGTTCAACAAACAAATATAATGAAACATGCATGTTTATATATACAAAATCTATTTGGTCTTTTATATGTAAGGTCTGAAGTACTACATAGGAGACAAAATTACATGTGTCTTCTTTTTTAAAAATTTAGTTATGATATACCAAAACTAAATTTTTAAAAATAAAAGGTATCAAGTTTTGACACCTTGTGTTCTTAAAAATTTTGATATCTTGTGTCCTTAAATATGTATTGTTTAAATAATAGTTTATTATATTGTTGTTTGGTTATTAATATTCATTTTGTTTTATGCATTATTTTTTTATTTTTTGTTTTTGTTTTGATAGATCTTTTTGTAATAGGTTTTTTGTATTGGCTAGAAGTGATCCCGATCCTAATGCTAAACCAGGAAAAGCTTTTACGGGGTTTATTGTTGATGCTGATTCACCTGGTATAACTCTAGGAAAAAAAGTAGATTTGTTTGTAGTTTTTTTTTTTTTTTAATATTTATATATATTTTAGTGTTTGTGTTTGTTTGTGTGTGTGTGTGTGTGTGTGTGTGTGTGTGTGTGTGTGTGTGTGTGTGTGTGTGTGTGTATGTATATATGTATATATATATATATGTATACATATATACATATATATATATATATATATATATATATATATATATATATATATATATATATATATATATATATATATATGGATATATATATATATATATATGGATATATATATATATATATATGGATATATATATATATATATATATATATATATATATATATATATATATATATATATATATATATATATATATATATGTATATATATATATATGTATATATATATATATGTATATGTATATATATATATGTATATATATATATATATAAATATATATATATATATATATATATATATATATATATATATATATATGTATATATATATATATATATATATATATATATATATATATATATATATATATATATATATATATATATATATATATATATATATATGTATATATATACAGTATCGGACAAAACAAGTGCAATCAAATAATACCAATTTAGTTTCTTTATAAAAAAGTGCTGCATTTTTTCAATTTAGAAAAATAATTTTGTAACTGTTTAGAGACAACGTTCTTCAAGTTTTATTCATCACAAACTCATTTGTACACGAAAATTAATAAATTAATCAAAAGTATTAAAAAAAGTTGATTTCCTTCTGGACAAAACAAGTGCAACTCCACAAAATGTTGACCAAGCTGTATTTTGCTATCAATATTTCGTGGCGAATCCTTTGTTGTCGATCACAGCCTTGCATCTTTGAGGTATAGATTCCATCAGGTGATCAATGAAACTTTGTGGAATCGCTGCCCAGGCCTTTTGGATTTGTTCAAACAGTTGATCCTTATTACAAACACCTTCACAATTAATTCTGTGGTTGATGATCTCCCACAGGTTCTTGATAGGGTTGAGATCCGGAGATTGAGGCGGCCAATCCTTCACCGATAGGTGGTTGTCTTGAAATCACTGCTTGACTACTTTTGCATTGTGTTTCTGATCGTTGTCTTGCTGAAAAACCCATTTTATTGGCATATTCCATTCAGCATGAGGTAACACAACATCTTTCAGGATATTTTTATACATGAAACGGCCCATTATTCCATTGATTCAATGTATTGGACCTAGACCGTTAGCAGAAAAACACCCCCAGACCATTACATTGCCTTCACTATGCTTCACTGTCTTATGGCAGTAACGTAAATCGAGGCGTTTTCCGGCCGGTCGACGTACACGGCAAATGTCATCGCTCCCAATGATGTTGAACTTCGATTCATCACTGAACAGGACAGTTCGCCATTTCTGCACATTCCAGTCAATATGAGATGTAGCAAACAGGAGTCTTTTCTTCTGGTTCTTTAGTGAAATCAGTGGTTTCTTTGCAGGGCTTCGAGAAAACAATACATGGTCCGATACAGGCAGCTCTAATTGCTTTTGTATCTCGACTTATGATATTCAGAGATCCTTCTTGATGGATCTGACGATCATAGAATCCTCTCTAGAAGTGGTGGAACACGGTGTTCCACTTTTGTTATCTGCTGCCAACTTCCCCGTAGAATGATATTTGGAACATAGTCTTGAAACGGTCCGTTTTTTTCACCCGATATTTATCACAAATACTTTTTTGTGACATTTCACTTACGTAATCGCCAATAATTTATTAATCTTTCTTAGTTCCAATCCAAGACTGTTGAGAGCCATTTTTGCACTTGAAGTCATAAAAATAAATAATCACGCTTCTCAAGGCTTACCGTGTTGATACAATAATGATCTGTGGAACACAACGTCTTGGTTGGATGTGGACTGTATTGATGTAATGAAACACTTGTTGTATTTTACTTCTTGTGTTGATGTTCTTCGATAAAACACTTTGATAAAACTCGCTTCGATAGACTTTCTTGATAATACTGACTGATTACTTCCATATACTGTCTGAATTACATGTCTCTTATATAGTAAAATGAACCTGTGTGAACCTGTTTTGGAAGATTCTAGATGCTTCTTTTTGATGCTTCTGGAAGCTTTTGGATGCGTCTGGATGCTTCTGAATGTTTCTGGATACTTCTGGGTGCTTCTGGATGCTTCTAGATGCTTCTTCTGCATTACTTCTGGATGCTTTCGGAAACTTCTGGATACTTCCTTTAATTATTAAAAAACTTCCGTGACGTTGACACGGACCAGACTTAAGAAAATGAAACAAACCAAAAAAGTTGCACTTGTTTTGTCCGCTGCAAAATGGCACTTGTCAACTAAATTCTGCCTGTGTGCTGCCACCTGTCAGCTGATTGCTCATGTCATGGCATGCTATGACTCCAGACTCCTGAACTGTTTGCTGTGGTAGTATAGTTCGTTTTGTTTTTAAGACATGTAAAATTAGGAACACTTTTTAGCATTGTTCGATGTTAGTTGCAAATGTTTTGTCCAATACTGTATATATATTTGCATTAAGTAAAAACCTGAGAGTGATTAGAATGAGAGTGTGAGGATGTTAGTCAGGAATATATTTATTAGGAACTATTTCTATCTATTTATATTTATATAATTATTTATTAGGAATTGTTGTTTCTACAAAATATTGAAAATTTTTAATGATCTTGCTCTATTACTTCAAAAAAAAAAAAAAAACTTTTAAAAAGTCTTAAAATTTTTTTTTTTTTTAAGGTGTGACTAACTAAATTTAGTATGCAATACTTCTATGTGTTTACCAATGATATTGCTGCCATAAAATGATGAAGAATTTAATTAGTCATCTAATTTTATTTATGGATAGTTAATTTTGTTTTTGGGACTCAACTGTCAATGTTACCCTATATGGGGTAAGATTGACTGTAGTATGTTTTATGTTGTAAATATTAAAGTTACATCATGAGGTAACATTATCATTGGAATTGTTTATTGTTGCCACTGATTGTTCTTGAAGTTTTTGACATATGATGTACTGATGGAGTATTCAACTTCATTTAATTCTAAAACTAAAACATGAACCAATCATTATTTGAACACAGTAAAGAGGTTTATGAAGGGGGATAACCACTTTTTTCTTAAATCATTTTATTTATTTAGGCTAATTTTTTTATTTACTCTTAAAAAAAATATTTTTTTCAAAATTCATTTTAAATGAAATTTGCTTGGATTTCTTTAAATGAGATATGAAATAGTTATTTTTTTTATCTTATATAGCTTTTTAAGTAGAAACTGATAAGCAGGTTGGAGGAGTTCTGATTTATGTAAAGGAAAACACAGTACATAACAGAACTGAAACCCAAATAACTTTCATAACTTTATGTTCAATGTTTTCAGATATTCTGATGCTGACAGAGTTATTTGTATTCTGAAAAAAAAAGTTATTACTAGATAGTAAACTAGTTAATAAAAATAAATTATATAATTTTTATTACCAAGTTTACTTTCTTTTATTATAATAACATATTTAATTAATTAAATATATTATAATATTATAATAAAAGAAAGAAAAAAGTAATAAAAAATAACTTTCTCTGCATTGTCCAGAGAGAGAAACTTTTTTTATCTACAAACTCTGGAAATATCTTAGTAACTAATTATTATCCAAAGAACTAATTAAGTTCCTTGGATAAACCATTTTTAATATATGTATATATACATATAATATATACATATTTCAATATATGTATATGCACACACATATATAAATATGTGTGTATGTATGTGTTTTAGGTGCCTTAATTTATGGCCACTGTTATACTAAAATGTGTTGCTTTCAAAAGCAAAAGAGGCTTCTTTCTGGAGTTGCAAAAAGGTTTTTTTTCTACCAAGTTTTTTTTTTTTAAAAACTTGAGAGAAAAAAAAATCATTTTAGGAGATAATCATTATTTGCATTGTTTATATCTGTTAAAAAATATTTTTATTATTTAATATCTAATGTTTGTTTAGGAAATAAATTTGGGTCAAAGATGTTCTGACACTCGGGGTGTCAATTTTGAGGATGTTAGAGTTCCTAAATCGGTAGTTATATTGTTTATTATCATTAATTCTTATTTACTTATTTGAAGTTTATTCTTAATGTGTTTTGCAATTTTTTTGCTTGTGTTTAGAATGTGTTAGGGAAAGTAGGAGAAGGCTTTAAGTATGCAATGGGAGCATTTGATAAAACACGTCCTGGAGTTGCATCAGCTGCTGTTGGACTAGCACAAAGAGCTTTGGATGAGGCTACAAAATATTCAACTGAAAGAAAAACTTTTGGAACTCAGATTTCAAATCATCAGGCCATTCAATTTATGTTGGCAGACATGGCTTCTGGTGTTGAGTTAGCTCGTCTTATGGTTAGGAGAGCAGCATGGGAATTAGATCAGGTAAAAAAATATCTTCTGTAAAATATAATACTATATGAACTATTATATAAGTTATGAAAGTATAAATCTTATAAGAATTACCAATAGCCTATGTTGATGTTCATATATAACTTAATAAAAGAAGATTTCTTTGTCACATTTACTTATTTATAGTCAAAAATAGTTTTTTAACAGAACTTTTTTTGGTCTTTTAATTTTTCATCAGTGAATTGTATAATAAGAAATGCTTGTTTTTTATTCAAAAAAGTAACCTTTGTAAAAAATGTAAATTTTGATTGTAAAAAATTAATGTTTAAATGACTTTTAAAAATTTTTGTTTAGTTATTGAAAATTAACTCACATACTTTCAAAATTTAAAATTTAATGTCAGTACACAAAAATGCACTTACTGGATGTGCACCATTTTAAAATTTCATCTTTATTTGATATATATTAAAATAAAAACAGAGAAAAAAATGCTTTGAATAAATTCTAAATAAAATAATTAAAATAAAGTTGTCAAAAAAAAAGTGTTTTTTATAAATATTAAACAAAATTATCAAATTAAAAATGGAAAGACAAATGCTTTAAATAAGATGAAAGATGAATGCTTTTTTAAGATGATAATAGTAATGAAAATGGTTCTTTTGACAAAGGCACCAATTTTTAAGTTATGAATGATGAGTGTGAAGATAATATCAGCTACAATCATTTGCATAAAAACTCACAAAGTTGATAAAATAGATAAAACAGTCAACTGTTTGAAATCAAAAATCAAGGGATATTTGGAAAGAAATTGAGCTTCACCTTGATGTAAAAGGTTGCGGGAATAAGATACCAATAATGCTTAAGCATTTGTGCATTTTACTAATAATGCATAAAGCTATTGATAAAGACAGAGATGGCAACTGGAGAAATTTTATTAGAATTTTAGAAGTGTTTAACTTAAATTAGAGAATCTTAGCAGAGATGATGCAACACTGCTTAGCACTGACACAATACTAGAATTCATGTTTGAGAAACTTTCTTTAGTTAGCATCATTTGCTAACAAAAGAAAGTTTTTGATGGATAATTTGAAGATTGGTATCAATGAGCGCCATAATATAGCTTTCATAAATTTTTTATGTTAACTTAAAACTCTGCCATCCAGAGATATAATAATTTTTGCAGATATATTGGCATCTCAACTTTAAAACAAAACAATATCAGATGGTTAGAAAGCTTTTTAAATAATTTATTCAACACTTTGTTTTTTTTTTTTTATCAAAGTAATTGATAACAATGCATTATGCATTATTATCAATTATGCCCACATTTATGGATAATCAAAGAGTATTTGCAATGTACATTATCGTTTGTAAAAAAAATAAGATCATAATTTTCAAATAAGTCATTATTTGATTTGATATGGCAGCCCTTGTATTTTTAAAATACTATAATAAAAGTTACAAAAGTTTATATGGTGATTATAAGTATTGAATAAAATTTATTTAATTGTTTTTAAAAATTCTAAAACAGTAAAACAGCTGTTTTTTAAAAACCACTGTTGTTAGAATCCTTAGTACCATATTTATTAAGGAATCGGCAATATTAGACAATTTATGCGTAATCATGGGAGTTAAATTTATCTGAAAACTATTGAAATTTTAAAATTTCATTAAAAAACTAAGAATTATCATTTTAAAAGCATTTTCTAAGATTCTTTATTTATTTATTTTTTCCCTTTTATTTTCTATGTTTTGTTCAAACTCTAAAACTCTTTAAATATAATCTAATGTTAGTAAACTAAAATGCAACATTAGTTGACTAGTAAACTAAAATGTTAAAACTTTTAAAAACCTTGAAGATGTGATAAATCTTGAATTTGGTTTGAGGAGTTGTCTAGAAAATTTTTGAATCAGTATAGCAAAAAACAGCTCGACACAAATATGGAAAACACTTGGTTGACTTTAATTTTATTTTTGAATTTTTTGATAAATTATTTATAAATAACTCCGAAGAACATCTTCTGCAAAAAGTTCTAGTTTTGATGCTGAAAATTGAAATTTAGATTTTTATTTTTTCAAAAAATTTACACTAATCATTCATATATGATCTAAGATAAATAAAAAATACCCTTCCAGTCTTGATTCCAAAGTTTTTTAAATGTGATTTTTATATGTTTGTGTACATCATATTTATTATTCCTAGTGGTTGTCTTAATTATTGTTTTAATATTCTTTCTTTTTTTAGTTTTTAATTCCCTACTTTAATTCTTGCAAACTAAATATTAATTAGTAACAACTTCTAGACTTTTTTTGCAGTTTAATTTCATAAAACTTCAAATTAGTTTAAAAATTTTTAATTTCAAGTTTAACTTAAAATTACTTATATTTATTTTTAGGGACGAAAAAATACATATTATGCCTCTATTGCAAAATCATTTGCCTCAGATGTAGCTAACAAAAATGCCAGTGATTGTGTTCAGGTATCTTTTATCTTTAAAAATATGCTTGGGTTAGCTCATAAAAGAGCTTTTTAGTTGCAAGGTCTTGCTTCCCTTTTATAAATACCAAAGTATAATTACTTTTGCCACTGTTTTTTATTTGATAATTAATACATTTTAATAATTTTTATTTGATAACATCAAAGAAACTTTTTAAACAATTAGTTTGACAGCATAATTGATAATTTATTAACCATAAATGATCAAATGTGCTTCCTGGATTTATTTGTCTAAATTAAGTTAAGGGTTGTAATACATTTTAGAGGAAAGTTTGTTTCAGGTTTATACTGGAATATACTTGAGATACGCTTATGCCTAGTATCTTTTGAGTAGTAGTATATAGTATGGTTATAGGGTGAATCTAAAAAAGAAGTAGGAGATGAAAGTTTTAAGAGAACTTGACTCATTTATAGATAGAGCACAGTATCCCAAGTAATGAGCTATGTTAATTTTTTTTTTTTTTTTTTTTTAATTATTCACCTCCCCAAGGCCCGAGGGGGCCACTACAGTCGAGGAGGCTACTCGTTTTTTTTTTTTTTTTTTTTTTTTTTTTTTTTTTTTTTTTTTTTTGTAAATCGTGGTATAACCCTCTCTCAACTCCTTAACTCCGAAACCCAAACCTTGACAAGCAAGACCGCTGCACGGAGAAATTAAGTTGAGCGCGGTACTTCCAGAGATGTGGTGGGAGTCGAACTCCGAACCACTCGCTTACAAAGCGAGTGCTCTTACCACTACACCACTACCGCATATAATTAACCCAAATTTGTAACTTAGTCCTCCTTATGCAGCCATGACCAAGCACACCAAAAGCACTAGCTACTTATAGTAACTTACTGGTGAGCAAACATCGCACCTGAGGTACAGGCACAACACAAACACACATATAGAAACTTACAGATAAATGAACACCATGTCAGAGGTTCAGATAGAATACATATAGGAACTTGTTATTTTTCTGGGTTCTCATGGTCTTATGTCATATGCTTCTAAATTTATTTTTCTCATACTTTTGGAAAATTTCCTTTAGTTTAAATAAAACAATAGCTGCAACTGCAAATTTCATGAAGCAGGTTTCAGTATTTAACTTAAAAAAAGCAACAAACCAAGGGAAGTTTATTTTTTGTAGTTTATTTTTCTGTTGCAAAACAGTGAAATAAACTACCAAAAACTGTTAAAATTTTCACAAAAAATATTGATAAGCATGGATACTATGCTATAACATGATGATATAAACTCTAATCAACATGGACTCATAGTATATTATAATTATTATTTTAGAAATTACCACAACTGTAAAACGTAAAGGTTTTACTGCGTGTAAAATTATATTTTTGTAGTAGGATTTTTCAACTTCAGTTAAAAATTAATTTACTTTATATTTGTAGCTAAATAAATAGCTTCAGTTGAAGTGTAAATAAATGATTTGTAAATAACATATACTCTTTATACTCTTTTTTTTTTTGTCTACTAAATCTCTATTTGGATTGGTTTGCATTCATAGTGTAATAAGGTTTTTTTAATTCTATACTTTCGTATGTTATACTAGCATATCATTTTATATGTACCAGTGGCAGAAAAATATTAATTTAATTTGTAAATTAAATATTGATTATAGAACAATGAACAATTTTTTGTTGTCTTTTTTCCCTCAGATCTACTATTTATAGATGAAATGCAAAAAAAATTTTGTGTATTTTTTTCATATTTTTAGATCTTCGGAGGGAATGGATATAATTCTGAGTATCCTGCTGAAAAGTTAATGAGAGATGCAAAAATTTTTCAAGTAATAAATATATATTTTTTTAGCATATATAAATATTTTTATGCCGAGATAAGTAAATCCAATGATATGAAATTTATTTTAAATCAAGGTAAGTAACCTTATTGGCATGTTTTAGCATAGCATGTTAGAAAAGCAACAGCCAGAATGTTGTGTATGTTTGTAAACCAGAATGTCATCAGCATGTCTCAACTTAGCATGTACCAAACTTTGGTAAAAGTAGCATTTAGCAAACTAACATCACAATAGTATGTTGTTCACAGGTGAATCAGATTTAATTTCAAAACAGAATATTGTTTATATTGAACATAGCGCTCTATAACATGTTTCTGTGCAACAAAGTTTTCAGAAGTTTTGAATTGTTTTTTTGTACACACTTTTGCATTTTAATCTCTCCTGTATTCAACTTTTTATCTTCCTGTCTATAAACAATGATACTTAACCTTGTTTTCTAACCTTAACATGGGGAAAAAATCGTGTAACCAAATGAAGGAATTAAGTTTATTTTTGTTTTGAATTTAAACATAATTATCTATTTTTAGTGTTTTCCCTCCATTAATTAACTTACAGTTTTTCAAACTCAAATAATATAAATTGCCACTATACCACTACTGATTTTCCATTATTATAGTTTTTTCATCAATATTTATTGTTTTATTATTTTTATTACTCATTGGTTTACAATTATATTATTATTATTAAAAATATTTTATTAAATATTTTTTTAATATTAACATTTCACAGAATGTTAATAATGTTTAAATAATATATAAATATAGTTTGCAAATCTATATTGCTTTAAAGATTAAGTTTTTTATACGTGTCAACTTCTTGAATTATATTTTTTTTTAGTAAATTAGGGTCTGTTCCTCAGTTGACTGTCAATATGTTTTTTGATACATAAACACACACACACACTTTTATAAAATTTGCAAAGAATGTTGCTGCTTTTTGATAATGCTAAAAGTATTCATATATATTTTATCACAAGGTAGTTTAAATGTATATTTTACTCTTTGTTGAACTCGACTGTTCAGATTTGTCAGAGGAAACTTTGCTTTAAATTTTTTGGTTTTATGTGCAAGAATAAAGAGTTTGAGTACGACCCTGGTTTCTTTGAGTCCAATCCAGGTTTGTTTGAGTCTGACCAAGGTTTTTTTGCGTCTGACCAAGGTTTTTTTGAGTCTGACCAAGGTTTCTTTGAGTCTGACCAAGGTTTTTTGATTTTGTATCAAAAATTGCTAACTCTTTAACTCACAATAATTTTTTGAATTTTTGATTTTAATTTTAAAGGTAAGTTTTAAAAACTTATTTTTATTATTATTGTTATCTTTTAACATTTATGATTATTTTACCGATTTTATAAATAATTACTTGTAAAAAATTTTTTTCTAAATTCAATACTCACCACCAAGGTACATCTTCAATACAAGATGTACCTTGGTGGTGAATTGATGAGATCTAAATTTTTCTCACACAATATTTTCAGACACAGTTGCCTTAATTCAATATAAACAATTTTTTAGACAGTTGTCTCCAGAAACATTAAATTTTTTAGACACTCAGTTGCTATATAATTCCTGTATAAATTGTTAAATATCTTTTGAATCATATGAGCTATAGGAATTTTAAAAGAACTTATATACAAATTTAAACTACTGTTTTAAATATATAGATAATCTCTTTTAATAATTTTTCACCTCTCAAATGGATTTTTGAATTTTAAATTTATCTTCTTTTTGTTTGACAACTTTTCTTATATTTTCAAGATTTTTTTTTTTTTTTTTGATCTTGCAAAAAATTATTCAGTATTGCAATAGATGTCTTCGTTATCTTTGTAACAATATTAAAGTAATTTTTTAATATTTTAATGTCCGACCGATCAGGCTAAATTATCTGATCGATCAAGCCATTGACGAATACTTTTGTTTGGATAACATACTAAAAACTTTAATTTTTTTAAATTTCGAACTTCTCTAGAAAAGTTAGTAGTAAAGAGTACTAAATAATCTTTATGTATGATATAAGAAAATTTACAAATTTCAAGTTTTTTATGCAAAACTTGTTAAATTTCTAACATTTTATTTAAATTATTTGGTGTTAACAAAATTGATAGTCTTTATTATGTTTGTATTTTATTTTTATTTTAGATATACGAAGGAACATCGCAAATTCAACGATTAATTATATCAAGAGAATATTTTAATCGATTTCAAAAAAGATAATTAGAAATACGTTTCTAATTGTTCTTTAGAGTTTTTTCAATACGTTATAATTTTCACATTTTTTTATTTTACACTTTAGTTTGAAAAAATTGTTTATTATTTTATATTTAATTTTTTCTGTTGAATATTTAGATGAAATATTTAAATACATTTTTATAAAATCAAATTTCTTTTTTACAAAGTTTTTCACGTTTAAAAGTTTTTACTTATGGAAATAAAATCTTTTTTTTTTTTGGATAGTTCTGTGCATGAGCTAAGACAGTCGAAAATAGCTTCTAAAGTGGCCTTACCTTAAACTCACTCTGTACTAAATTAAAAATGTGGCTCTTAAACTCTGCAACATCTCTATTATTTCCCAAACACACAGACACTTTGAAGATTAACATTTATTTATACAAAAACCAGGTTTTTAGATCAAGAAAAATTGGATTAAACTATTTAGACTTTGTTTTTGTTTTATTTATTAAAGGACTTTGTTTAAATAGAATATTTTTGGAGTTTTTATTGCAAAAAAAAAAAACAATATAAATAAATTAGGTATTAAAAAGGTAAAAGTGTCATTTTGAAGTCATTTAAATGATTTTTAAATGACATTTTTACCTTTTTAATGCCTAATTTATTTATGTTGTTGTTGTTTTTTTTGCAATAAAAACTCCAAAAATATCCCATTTAAACTAAGTCCTTAAATAAATAAAACAAAAACAAAGTCTAAATAGTTTAATCCAATTTTTCTTGATCTAAAAACCTGGTTTTTGTAAATACGAATTTTTTAGTTCTGGTAATATTTTCGTTTATAGTCGTATATGGTCTTAATTTGGTCGTATTTTTTAGTTTCTGGTTTAATATTGTCGGAGCTTTTAAGAGCGTATAAAAAAAAAGCGTAGAAGACTAGAATCCGTTATTTATAACTAAAACTAAACACCGTTTCAACTATGTTAAAATGAGATATATGTGTTGTTGTTTTTCTGTCAAATCAAAAAAAAATTTATTAAAACGTTTAATTTCAACCCTCGAGGTTATTTCAATTTCTTCATTAGATGAAAGCTCCCAAAATAAATTGCTACGCTCCAAATACACATTGATATTAAGTATTGCTTTAGGAAACGCTCAAAAAAGAAATTTAATTTTATCTCGTTTATTAGTGCCTCAAAGCGCCATTGCTCATTTTAAGAGCTTAAAGCTCTAAACTGCTCTCTTTTAAAGGTTTTCATTTGAAAATATTTTTATTTTAGAATTTTTTTTTTTCAATCGCTCTTTCTTAAAAGATTGAGATAAAACTAATTTTTTATTATTACTTTATTTAATATATTCAAAATCGTAAACGAGTTCAAATATTTTATACTTTCTATCGATGTATTCAAGTAAGGGGGTTCTATACTTTTTATGGATGTTTTTTTTTTTGGAAAAATTTGATCTTGAAATACCTATTATTATAATAAGGTAAAGGAATATTTTTTCATTATAAAAATTTTTTCTAAAAGATTACTTGGAGTGTTTCTTTGAGGCTATTTTTGATCAAGTTCTCAAATAACTTGTTGAACGCTTTAAATTAATTTTTTTATTTTGAGGTAATTTGCATGAAATTAGCACAAATTCTTCAAATTTCTCACAAATTGTTCTCGTTAAAATTTGTTAAAATTGTCAAATAACTTGAACAAGTTTTATTAAACGTCAGAAAACATGTTAAGATCATTTGTCATAATATTAATTTTTTTGTTTTTGTTTTTAGGTGACTCTGAGAAGACGTAACGGTCTTGTCACAGCACCGCGGGAGAACATTTAGTAAAAAAAACAGTAAATTGCTTTACTTTAAATGGGATTTAAAAATTTCAAGTTTCATTAAAAAATTTAAATTTGTGACATACGGCCACATAAAGTTTAAAACTCCCTCATTTTTTGAACGTGTACAGTTTTAGAAAAAGAGTAAAAAAGATGTTTTTCAACTGCTTTCAACAATTTTTGTTTCTAGTTACATGTTTTTTTTTTATAAGTATATGAAATTTTTGAAACAGGCTCGGGTATGTTTTAGCAAAAAGTTAAAAGAGGCTCAAAAATATGCTTAAACTTAAGCATATTTATAATAAAATATGCTTATTTCAATACTTTCTAAAAATGCGTGCGTTACTAAAGGTTAATGGTTATAAGAAAAATAAAAAGTCGACTTTAGTACAGTATAATAAAAAATATATACTATATACAAATGTTATATATGAAATAATTAAATAAATAAAATTTGAATTTTTTAAATGGTTTATCGAGGCTCAGGAATATGCTTACATATGCTTATTTTTTTTCCAAATCTGAGCCTCTATATGCTTATAAACGTTATGCTTATTTAAAAAAAAAATATGTAACCTCGTGAAAAAGTGATTTAATAAATCCTTTTAAAATAAAAGCAACTTTAACTGAAAATCTTTCAACAAAAAAAAGAATTTCTTTGTGTAATGATAAAGAATTTTTAAAACTTCTAAAGTTAGCATTTAATGTTTTAAAAAAAATTATTTAGGGTGTAACTTAAGTTGATTAAAATCTAGCTAGGTTGTTTGGAGGCTATATGCATATATAGCCTCCAACTATTTTAGCATATCATTAATTTTACTACATGTAGTAAAATCAATGATATACTAAAATATGGCGCAAATCTTTCTTTGGAAATAATACGATGGTACATTCGTGTTAAAATTCTCCCACTCCATATTCCAAAATAACATGTCTCCTTCAAAACTTTGCTTTTATTGAAATTGTGTACAAACAATCACTAAACAAAGTTACTTTATAGGTATGAGTTAGGCAGATATATAACTGGATTTGATATTTTTAAAAAGTTTTGAGAAAAAAGATATCGAATTAAAAATCACACGATTATAAGTAATTTTTTCAATTTTTTATCGTACTGTATGAATTTTTAAATCAAAAGTGGTATTCGCTGCTCAATTTCCTTCAACGAAAAAGTCTAAAGACTAACTCTTAATCGCTGTAAAATTGCGTGTTTTGAGTTTACAACTTGTATTTTTAAGTATTAATAACAAGATTTTAAAAAATGTATCAAAAAAAACTTTTGATGTTTTCATTATAAAATATGCAGTTAGAAAAATTCTTTGTTGTAAACTCAAAATTTAGTTTTCAATATTTATTTTTTTTATAGGTTATTTAGATTTTTTTTTTTTTATAAGTTATTTAGGCATCCAGAAGTCCTTACGGTCTTATCGCAGAGCACCGCGGAAGAGCATTTAACTAGAAGTTGACGGCTCCTTCCTTACCAATGTCGCTTATTGGGCTAGAGCCGTTGTCGAACCTCGGACCTCTGGATTCTGAGCCAGAACACTACACATTGCGCCACGGCTGCTCCTATATATATATAAATATATATATATATATATATATATATATATATATATATATATATATATATATATATATATATATATATATATATATATATATATATATATATATATATATATATACTAGTCATTCTAGTAAATACCAGTCATTCGAGTATGTTCTAGTCTGTAAACTTATTACAGACAAAGAATGCTGTCGCTGTTTACAATTCTTCCAATTTGAGCTCTTATATTAAGTTAGCATCAAGGCTTTTCCAATTCAAGACAGTGTTTAGAAGAAATATCTGACAGAAGATATTTTATTTATAATGAAGACTGTGAAATGCGAAAAATGTACCAAAATTATTGTTATGCATCTGTAAATGTAGGTTTACAGATGTATAACAATCTTTGAATCTTTAAATAAACACTAAGCAAAAAATGAATGCAATCACGTTATAACTCATTTTGCACACATTAACTAAATTTATGATTAAATTATTATCAATTATTATTTTTATCTACACACAAATACAAAAAACAAAGTACTTTTTTTTAAAAAAAACTATTATTATCAAGCAAACAAGCTTTCAGTTCATTTCTTAGCTGGCAAGTATTGTGAACGTATTTAAACTTTCAAATTAAATTTCAGCTTGTGTTGACAAAGTTTTTTGAATTTCTTTTACTCTTTGTTTTACAAAATAAGAACAGATGAATTAAGATAACTAAGGCACAATAAGTAACTTGAATTGAGTTTCGTAAAAATGGTTATTTTGATAGCCACAAATTTTAATAAAAACATATTATGATATCAAAATATTTAACTAGTATAGGAGAAAAATTTCAGCAGCCGTGGCGCAGTGGTAGCGCACTTGCCTCAGAATCGTAATACCCGTGGTTCAAACCCCACCTCTCGGCAAGTTTTGCGACATCGGTTGGGTAGGAGGTGTGAACTTCCAATTAAATGCTTTTCCGCGGTGCTCTGTGATAAGACCATTAGGACTTCTTTGGGCACCTAAATTAACTCAGCAGTATATCTTTAAGTAAATTCAGAGTTGGATTAAGGGAGAGGGGCTTAGGGGACTATAGCCCTGGGCCCCGCAATTTTAGGGGCCTCCAAATAGTTTTGAGGACATTTTTTTTCAGCTCGGGCCCCGAAAAGTCTTAATCCACCACTAAGTAAATCACTTCTGATCAGTTTGGAGACCATTACAATCCTAATTTCTTTTAAACAGCCAAATATATTGATCCAGTTAAAACGAGATAATTCCTAACATTTTGTTCAGTTTTTGAGTTTATTTAAATTTCCATTGATTAGCATTTCGAATGTTTCATATCATTAATTGTATGCTAAATATTCTAAGGGGCAGGCCATTTTAGAGGTTTGCAGAGGCCTGAGCTAGTTATGAACTGGAGGCCTTAAGACAATTTGCTCACAGTTTGGGCAAAACGTGATGGATGTTGGTACGAAGTCAATATAAGTCTTCAGATAGATCGGGACCACATAAATTTTAACTTTTAGAATAAATAAACCAGATAAAGAGAAAATTGATACATTTGCAACACTTTTGTTCAAAAGAAAAAGGTGCGCAATACAAATTTTTTTAATACTATAGCACAATCAGTCTCTTTTACATGCTTCTTTAAAAGCAAGAGTTTTAATTATTAAACGATATAAAAAAAAATGATGATTAGAATCTTAAACAAATAATTTCGAATTGTAAAGCAATTAATCTTAAGAAAAGAATTAACTTGACTAGATTTGTTCTTGTTGATAATCCCAATGTACTAACATTGGCCGAATAGGAACTAGATTATCTAGATTATCTATTTTCCATTAGTTAAAATAACAAA